ACTGGATGCAGCTGCAGCTGTACGCCCATCCGCCACATTTTAGCTCTACCAACGACAGGAGGAGTAAAGGCCAGAGAGGCTGTGAGTGATCAAGGACGTGAGACGCTAAAAACGAGCGCGCTCCTGGCGCGACGTAATTCCTTCGGGCCGCAATAAGACTCGGTAATGAGTTGTTATTCGGAACGTAAGACTACGTACAACACGCATACACGCACACACCGACAGAGAAAGAGAGCGGCGACTTTGCTGCTTTAACGACTACCATAAGTTCCCGCGGGACCGCGGCAAAGGAGAGAAAATATTGCTGCTGGTTGTAACTTATTTAGCTCGTTATTTGCAGCAACGGAAGATTTATAATAGCCAGTTAAATGTGCGATAAGCTACAAATAAGGACGTAACAAAATTCTTGCTTACACAATGAATTACGTGTTCCTCGTGAGAATTAAACTCAAAAGCAGAGATCCTTCTTTTTTTCACGAATTAATTGCGTCGTGCACGGACGACGCTGGCATCATGCCGTGACGTCGCGGCATTCCGTTTATGAATTATAGAGACCGATTATGAGATAATGAATTGCACTCGTAAAGATAAATTTATTGGACAGTGATAGCTGTCGTTTTGTAATTATGTTACTTAATTATTTACGTTTAATTGCATTTATGTTCCAGCAAGTGTTTAATAATAAATGTGCACTTAATTATACAATGTGTCGAGATCTCAACTGTTTGACTTGCTCGATTACCAAAAATTTCAGAGTGTTAATATAAAAAATGCCCTGAATAAAAGAAAATATTATTTGCTAAATGCGCGTAATTATAATATACTAGTCACACGGGGCGGTCTGATACAGTTTATTTATGCGACGCGATAAATAACACTCTTATCTGGTAGGTACTGAAATCACGCGGCTGACGCATGCAAAAACGTGAAGTTAAATTAAAGTAAAGCATAGCGTAAAATTGCAAGATTATCGAGTGCAGCTGCGGTCGATGGTGGTCTGTTGCGCGGCGCACGGATGGGCGTTGCGGCGATAATGTTTGTAATTAGGCGGGGTTATAAGGTGCGGAACCGACGGACAATTTGTGTCGGGTTGACCAGAAATTCGGCAAGTAAGTTATCGACTCGTAGATTATCGGGCTGACGTGCCCCGCATGCCGAGGAGTCCCCGACTTACCCACTCGGGTTATTGGACATTCCTTATCGCTCTCACGTCCGTTGCAAATTCTGGAGCTGCGCGGCCTAAAGCCACTGATTGCTCGATTAATTTCATTATACATCTTGTCTAAAAGTTTTACCGCGCTCCCGTGCGAGAAACTATTGTCCTATGTAGGTATTTTTGCATAATCTTTCTCTACTAAACGAACGCTGCAAGAGCATTCGTTAAAAAGTCGATAGAATATATTGTTATATAATTAACATAATGTGTGCACATATTTGTTTTCGATATTCGAGATGAAATATCGGAAAATAAAATCAATCGCGTCTTTTTTTTTACAAAAAATTGTAATGCGGTTATTTAATAGTGCTATCAGGTTTAGTATACACAGGCCGAGGCAACCGAAGGAACGCGCGAGATTCCACATTCCATTCCCGAAAGATTCTCGAATCTATCGAGACATCGATTCTCCTAGAGGGGCACAGGAGAGTTCTCGAGTCCGTAGCACCATGGGGAATTCTAGAGAGCCTTTCGAATTCTCAAGACGCACGTAACGTCCGAAACGCGACGGGGGAAGTACAGGCTTATATCTTTTCTTATCAATGGCAAGATTTTTCTTCCGGGCCAATGACACAGGACCAATGCAATTTCATCGAATTGTTTTCTACACAATCTCGCAGATTGTGCGAAAGTTAGAGTAATATCGAAACAAGGATTCGCCGAGAAAAATCCTTTTGCATGGAAAACGTATATACCCTTCTCAGCATCGGATATGTCGCGGGCCATGGCGTCCGCCTTTAATACCGGTTGCCAAATACGAGAATCTAATTACTAAAAGAGGTCGGTACCGATGTTACGGATAAGCGATTATGAGCCGAGACAAAGAGATCGCGAAGTGGCTGCCAGTGGCAGCTTTTGTTCGCATAGCCACCATTCAGGGCATTCACGCTTTGTCTACCATTCATCTCCCCATTAGTGACCGTATCCCCATGATGGCGAACAAACGAAAGGTGCGGATGAGTCACACTACCGGGAAAGCAAAGTGCATTTGCCATTAGCAAAATCAATCTCTGAACCCACCACACACCTCTCAATCAGCCTTTACATAATACCGTAATTAAGCATATTATGCACACACGATTTCTATATTACGTCTTTTTGGACAAAAAGAGCTTATGTAAGAAAGGATATCGATATGATGATTATAATTGATTATAATAATTTTAATGATAAAATGCATATTAAAATATAATATCAGTTTAAATAAATTAAAATCAAATGTGCAATTAAATAATTTCCGAATTTTTATCAATAATAGATATCATGATAAATTCGTAATAATAATTTAAATAATTTTCCAAATTACATTTTAATAAGATAATATTAATTTTAATTATTTACATAATTTAATTAAATTCTGTGATCATATTATTTCTGTACTTTTAACTCGTGGATATAACAGTTATTTATAAAATAATCTTACAAAGCAGAAGGAAAGCGGATATCATGCAATGTATTATCAATTTGCACTTTAGTCATATGGTAGCTATTTAGCAATTTAATTTCTTTGAAATCAGCCGAGTATTCTCCGCACGATTTAAAATCGACAGAGCACCCGGAGAAATTACGACGACGGAGCACGTCGCAACGAACTCGCACGTCCAACGTTTATACGTCGGACTGCGCTCGGATTAATTTAATGAACCGCGATGTTTGCACGCATGCCTACGTGCATTTAATGCCGATTCCGATAGCTAAAAAGAGATAGGAAAAAACGCAACAACCGACGGCTTGCCAATATATATGCGTGCGTGCATAAATATACCGACGCACACGCGTGTCGGCTAACGCGACATATACACGCGCACACTTTTCCAACACACGCTCGCGGCACTGTCGTGTGGCGATTATCAGATTTATAGTTTGCTCGCGGGCGGAATCGTTCAGGCGAGTAACGTCACATCGAGCGGGGAAAGGGTATTTAGACGTATAGCAGCACACGGAACGCGACGGCGGCAAAATGAAATATTTGCCGATATCGAATCGCGCGCGTTCTCGGATTTATAAAATATAAATATCTATCTTCTCGCGCAGACACGGCCGCGAGTACGCTGATTGAATTAATCATCATACCAAATACAATGGTACGCGGATTCGCACATTTATCTCATGCTTATACAGATCATTTAGGTTACAACTTTTAAATCATTCTTCATTAGTAGTCTTCAAAAGAGGGTGAACGCTAAACAACGGAACGGTTCGATAAGCCTCGCTAACGTAATGTTTGTTTGCGTAATGTATATTGAATAAGGCGCAGCGCAGCCCTACGCAGGTCGCGAGCATTTTCTCATTATTTTCGCAAGATTGCTGGTTGTTGTTCCTTTACGTGACTACTATTCCTAAAAACACAAAAAAAGACCGGAACCTTCTTACGAGCGAACGCAATTTGCCTCTTACAATCAATTCCGCGAGTCGCCGGAAGGCTTGTTTTCCGGGAGATTGCATGCGACGAACGGCCGTGATGAGTTTGCTTTTCACTGTAGAAACGGCGGATATCACAGTCGGAGTGAACCATTCTACGGAATAAACACGAAGCATAGAGAAACCGAAGGAACGAAAAGGGTGCCGCTCCGGGGAAGAGCGAGGTTACGAAGAGAGAAAGAAAAAGGAAGACGAGGGAAAACCAGGACGGGCATAAGTATGCTCATACGCTTGCTCATTCGCGGTCCGACTGTTTGTTAACTTATCTAAATGTCTGGATGCAACGTTGTCGACCAGAGCAGGCGTTAACTTTATCGGAACTCGTTTTAGAGCAAACTAGAATGTGATGCGCCCTCCATGCCGTTAGCTGCGCTGGCAAGACTGAGAATAGGACGAGAATTAGGCTGTGTTAATTTGGAGTTAGATTACGAAGCCGTGAGACGGGATGCTTCCGCGACGTGACGCACATTTCCCGGGAACTACGTCGATCGTAAATACTATTAGTCTTGTTATTGCCATTCTCGTTCGTAAATGCGATTAAGATCTGTTAACGCGAACGGGGAAACGAGCGGAATAAAACGGAAAGCGGAATGAGAGTTTCGTTCGTCCGATTTCCAAATTAATATATATGTTTGCCCGTGTATTTATAAATTGTTTTGCACCGCTCTTACATATTTCTTCTCTTTTTCATACAATACGTGACACGTGTTGGATTTTAATTTTCTCACGGACATATTGCGTTTGTGGACTATGTAAATATTTTCGCACAGAAAAAGTTCCGCCGTGGCAACTGCTGTAAGCTAATTTCGTGCAAGTCACGAGATTTCGTGGAAATTTATTAGATTAATTTAAGTATTACGTCGCAACGTCTGTGGCTCACAGAGAGAAGAAGGGCATTGTCCTTAGTAGGAACGGCAAAGTTACTACGGAAACGAAGAAACGGGCCGAGGAAAGAAGAGCAGAAACGGAACAAGAAAACTCCATTACGTTATGAAGCTGCCTTGTTTCATAGAATAATATGTCTGCCATACGAAAGCCATGTCATGAACAAATATATACAGGATATCCTACACCAACCGTATCACCCATTAATAACAGATTTATGAGGTCATTTGGAGACATTTAGAAAATCTTTATATCAAAATGTCAAGGCTACAGTAATTTTTAGATGCAAAGTGTTTAAAATTGATAAAATAAATTATCAAAAATTCGCGTACGTCGCATATTAATTTTTATATCCTTATCATATAATAAATCTGCTATTAATAAATGATGAATGCGGCTAATCTGAGATATCTTGTACATTTTATATTATTTTGAAATTTCTTAATATTAAAATTAAACCAAATATGTGGATTGACTTACCGGCACGATGCGCAGCAGCGGAGTTGATCTGTAAAATACAAAAGAGCATTCAGATTATAGTAAAGTATAAAATAATTAGTATCTAAAAAATATTTGCGCACATTAAACTTTTTATTTATCCTTTAAATAAAATGACTAGTAAAAAAATCATCAAAAATTTTATTATTCAAAATAGTGATAAATATGTGAAAAACTTTAATAATAATACTATTTATAGAATACTAGTTATTGTAAATGTTTTATTGAATCTTTCAAGTATTTTATGTGTGTTATACATAATTATTTATATGTAACATTTTACAAATAACAGATAATAAATAAGTAATTAATTACCTTAAAGTTGCTCCGCCGACGCCTGATGCCCTTCCCGAGCCTCCTCCTCCTCCTCTTAGTTCTCCTTGCAGTTCAAGCCATTCACACGCGTTTGCGACGCGGAAATCGCCCGTTTTAAACGGCACTCCCGACGTATTTTCATTATTTTAAGACAAAGATAAGACAACTCGAATAGATCGCACGGATAACACTTCGACACTATCCGCAATAGATAAAAAAGAATGAGATCGGAAAGTAGTAAAAGTAGTAGGTATTATTTGAGAAAATAACGCGCTGATATACGAAACAATCTGCTCCGTACGAGTGCCGCCGTACGAATGAGGTACGATATAAACGTTTCAAGAACAAAGTCACGCTGATTCCGATTTGGAAGAATCCGTAAAAGAAACAATATATGTACGAAATAGAACATACGTGTGAGAGAGGGAGAGGAGGTACGGAGCGCGCAGGCTAATGCCCCGTCTACACGCTGTCTTTAAGATAGTGTGTTGAAGATATCTGATGTTAAATTGCGCGTGTAGCTGTGTCAAACTATCTTTAAGTGAAACTATCTTCAAGATGTTAAGAATCCCAGTTCAACATCATATATTAGAAAATATCGATTTATATCGATTTCTGATTTATATCGATTTATTTTTTATCTTTTAACCACTTATTAAATAATTGTAGCGCCATATTATATATTTGTATCCATTGGTTGTTCATTAGGAATTAGGAAACAATTAATTTTTGACAGGCTCAAATTCTAAAAAAAATACTTTTAGAGGTTATGTATTGCGCGAAACGAAACAAACTATCGATCTTTAAATACAGCGTGTAGCTGAATAGTCGTTTCAAGTGCAGTTTACTTCAGCGTACTATTTTAAGGATAGATTCTTAAAGACAGTGTGTAGACGAGGCATAAGCGCGACAACATAAACAAACACCAAACACCGCGAGTCGGTTACGAAATTCTTACAATTAAACTCGATTTTAACTTGATTTCGATAAATGTTCGATTAATTCTTTAATGTTAAGAATTTCGATATATATATATATATATATATATATATATATATA